CAAAACTCCATTTCTACTAAAAATACAAAAGTTAGCCAGATGTGGTGGCACGTGCCTATAGTCCCAACTACTCAAGAGGCTGAGGTAGGAGAATCGCTTGAACCCAGGAAGCAGAAGTTGCTATGTACTGAGGTCGCACTACAGTCTGGACAACAGAGCGAAACACCATCTCAAAAAAAAAACAAGAGTTTCAAACTACTACCTTCAAACTTTCCACCCAGACCCTCTCACACTTGGTTTAGCAAATAACACAACCTTTATAGAGAACAATTTGCCACTTTCCATCAAAATTACAAGTGTGCAAACCATCTGACAGAGCCTTTCCACTCATATTTATCCTGCAGATAAATCTATACACATACAAAATGACCTATGTATAAAGACATTCAGTCTAGGCATGGTAGCTCACGCCTATAATCCCAGCACTTTGGGACACTGAGGCTGGTGGATCGCTTGAGGCCAGGAGTTCGAGACCAGCCTGGCCAACACAATGAAGCCTCATCTCTACTAAAAATACAAAAATTAGCTGGATGTGGTGGCACACACCTGTATTCTGAGTTACCCGGGAGGCTGAGGCATGAGAATCTCTTGAGCCCAGGAAGAGAAGGTTGCAGTAAGCCAAGATCACGCCACTGCACTCTAGCCTGGACAACAGAGTGAGATTGTCTCAAAAAATAAAAAGATATTCAATGCAACAGTGTTTCTAATAGCAAAAGAAAGGGAAAGGTCTAAATGTCATCAATAAAGGACTAGTTAAGCAAGTTCTGGTACATCCATACAATGGAACAAGATACAACTGTTAGAAACCAAGGCTGGTGGCCAGGTGCAGTGGCTCATGCTTGTAATCCCAGCATTTTGGGAAGCTGAGACAGAAACATCACTTGAGCCAGGAATTTGAAACCAGCCTGGGCAACATAGTGAGACCTCATCTCTATAAAAATAACAAAAAATAGCCAGGCACAGTGATGCACACCTGTAGTCCCAGCTACTAAGGAGGCTGAAGTAGAAGGACTGTTTGAGCCCGGGAGGTCAATGCTGCAGTGAGCCATAATCGCACCACTGCCTGGGTGACGGAGTGAGACCCTAGCTCAAAAAAAAAAAAAAAAAGTGAGGCTGAACCTATACGTGACAAAGGCAAGGAAGTAAAATGCTCCATGCTACCTACATTATACTACTGATGAATCTGTGGGGAAAGCGGGTAGGAATACTGAGGTACCTATTTGCAGGTACATACAATATCTCTAGAGTGCATAAGAAACAATAGTTGCCTTCCAGGAAGACTTAGGTAACTAAGGTACAGGAGATGAAGCCATACTATTTACTTTTTTTTTTTTTTTTTTTTCTGACTAAGGAAGAATTCTAGGATCACCATATATTTTTAATGGACCCCCTGACTATGGCCTACCACACTCCAGCCATGCCACACTTCTTTGTATTAATCTTCACTAGCTTGTAGGATTTTACACACGCTGTTCTCTGGCTGGCATATCTTCCCTCTAGTGGCTGTATAACACCTGTGATACTTTCAGCTTTCTTCCTCTGGGAAGACTGTTCTGGCCATCACCCTCGAAGTCTTGGTGGGATCCTTCTCTGGGTTCCCAAAGCTCTCTTCTAGCTCTCCATCACAAGACTCATCACACTTTGCTGTTATTACTGACACTTCTGCCAGCCCTAGTAAACTGGCAGGTTCCTGCAAGCAGGCAACAAGCATCATTCATTTCTACACCTTCATCATCTCCCATTGTGGTAGCTGCCTCATGGCAGGTGCTAAACATCAGTGGTTCCCAACCTTTTTGGTACCAGGCATCAGTTTCATGGGAGATAATTTTTCCACAGACAGGGAAGCAGGGGTATGTTGAAATTGTTCCACCTCAGGCATTTAGATTCTCATAAGGAGCGTGTAATCTTGAGCCAGCGCGGTGGCTCACATCTTTATAATCCCAGTACTTTGGGAGGCTGAGGCAGCAGGATTGCTTGAGCTCAG